CTTTCTGGTTGATAACCATAGGCAAGGCATGCCCTAAATATTTTGCAGAGATGGGGGACGATTATCTTTAACCCTTCTTGCAGAAGTACAGGGAAAAATTCGTCACAGGCAGCAGATTTAAAACGGCCAAAGGCTTTTATTGCCCATCTTATTCCACTTGGGGTTATCACTTTCCTGGTTAGTCTCCAATCAGTACAGANTTGCCCATCTTATTCCACTTGGGGTTATCACTTTCCTGGTTAGTCTCCAATCAGCACAGGTCACACGTTTGTCCTGTGCATCATGTTCCTGTTCTCTGTTGTTAATTGTAGAGTCAGGAAAATGTGTGTTCATCAAATGTGATAATGTTTCATTATCGTTATTGGTGAACATTCCGTCTGGCAGTAGTATTGTCTCGACAGTTTTGTTTGGTCCATTCCTTATTGATCGCAGAAATCTAGTTGCTATAGGGAGTTGTTGTATATCCCCACAGAACTTCTTCCAAATTTTCTTTTGGACTTTTTCATTGCAGATTTGTAGTTCCTTTGGGCGTCCTTATAGGATTCCCAGTGTTGTTCCAAACCTGATTTCATTGCTTTATTTAAGAGATTACGTGAACTCTTTCTTAATTTAGACAGGTTAGCATTCCACCAAACTACACCCTGCCCTGTACCTTTCCTTTCTATTAAAGGACAGTTTTCTTTGTAAGCCGAGGCAATGGAGTCCTGTAGCATATTTATAGCCCTTTCAGTACTCTGTCTCGACCCCAATCTAAACTGTAGGTTATTCAGGTCACGAGAGAGATCTGCCCTGTAGTTGTCCCAGTTTGTTCTTTTCGGGTTCCTATAGTACTCCGTCTCAGCTTTGTTAATTTCCAAAGTGAATCGTAAGTTCCTATGATCAGAAAGAGAAGGTTTAGAGGACACTTTCCACCCTTTTATCCTGTGAAGTAACCTTTTTGAACAAACTGTCAGATCAATGACTTCCTGCCTGTTCCTGATAACAAAAGTAGGTTCACTACCTCTGTTCAGTATACCTAAGTCTGTAGTCAGCAATAGATCCATTATAACCTCTCCTTTTTGGTTGATGTTACTGTNAGATCCATTATAACCTCTCCTCTTTGGTTGATGTTACTGCTCCCCCAAATAGTGTGGTGTGCATTAGCATCCATACCTAGGATTAGTTCTAATTTTTCATTTTTGCAATAATTAAAGAGCATAGTTAGGTCCCTACCTGGGTCTGTGACCTCATATGGTAAGTATCCTGAAGCTACTATAATATTTTTACCATCATTTAGTGTTACTCTAATAATAGTCAAGTCTGCACTTGATAGATTAAGTATCAGGCTGGCTTTAACTTTATTATTAACCAAAATGCAAGTTCTTGGTTTATCTGCTTGTTTATGAAACAGTTTAAAATCCCTTAGATTTAGCCCCTTAATCTGGTCCCCATTTATCCATGGTTCCTGAATAAGTGCTATTTGTAAGGGTATTGTATGCCTCTCAGTTAGGGTCCTTAGTAATACACTGCTAGCCCCTTTACTGTGATGCAGGTTTATTTGCGTGAATTGAATTCTATTGTCAGCCATTCAGAAAAACTGATGTTGACGCTTAAGAAAGCACGCTGTACTGGGTGTGATACAGGTGTCTGAAACAGTCTCTGTGTCACACAGCCCCCCCTGTGGGTGGTGTCCCCCCGCCGTTCCCAGGTGGCGACCATGCCATAGGTTTGCTCTCCAAATTTCCTTTTGCATCCGTGGAGAGGTTTCCCTCAGCTGTTATTGAGGGTGGCGGTTTCCTGGGTCCCTTTCCCTTACGTAACACACTTCCTCCCTTCCCTTTCGAGGCAGGAGTGAAGTGTGTCCGTTTGTTCCTTATCTGTGCCTTACCTTTTTTCCCGAGTGGCACTGGTGATTCCTCAGCCTTCCTCTTCCCAGATTTTTGAGGTGTGAATTTTTTCACATCCTTCCGGANTGAGGTGTGGATTTTTTCACATCCTTCCGGGCTGGTGGCTGCTTGGCAACATAATCTGTGAAGCAAACTCTGCCCATTCCAAAATATGGACTGCGCTTCAGTTCCTCCAGTTTGACCATGCTGTTTTCGTCTACACTTAGGAACAAAGTTTGTCCTTTCGGGCCAACCTCTGTCTCATGATGGACTTTCCAGATCGCCGTGTTCAGCCCTGGGTTTTGTTTTGCCAAAATTTCCAAGATCTTCTTGGACTCTTTTGGCAGCCCTGGTATATGAGTGACCATCCGTTTGTACTTGATCGGGTTGTAGGCTTCCAAATGGAGTTTAATAAAATATTCCCTCGTTTACTATAGATGGGGAAATTTCCAAAAAAAATTAAAATTTTTAAAATCNTATAGATGGGGAAATTTCCAAAACAAATTAAAATTTTTAAAATCGATAAGTTTTGACATTTTTATCACTTTTTTTTCTTAAAACTACCATACTTTTTCAATAATTAACATATCAAATTAATATTTTTTATATTGAAACTTTAGATAATTTTTTTGAAAATCTGACTAGACCTGATTTTACATGTTTTTGCTTTTTTAAAGTCAAAAAAATTACTTTAAAATTTGAATTAGCTTAAGTTGCCAAATTTATCAGCCGACGAAAGCGACGAAGAGTTGCTAAATAAGTAACACTTGTGTCTTTCACGCTTAAGATACGAGATTCGAATCCACCTGTGGCAATTAACTTTTGCATTTTTTTCTTTATTCTTTTTGAGTTAGAAAAAAATTTTCAAGTCATTTGATTTTTATCTCATTTAAATTCAATAACTTCAATAAATATCAAGGTCCCAACCACTGTAGTCTCCTTTCGCGAGAAGAAATTTCTTATTCATGTTAATATTATTTTACTATGTGTTTTTTTTTGTAGCTGCGAATTATTTTCCAACCCTCACTTGACCTACTTTTTTCAACGATACGTCCAATGATTGCAATTCANATATTATTTTACTATGTGGTTTTTTTTGTAGCTGCGAATTATTTTCCAACCCTCACTTGACCTACTTTTTTCAACGATACGTCCAATGATTGCAATTCGTATTTTTTTATATAAGATATTACTCTCTCTCAAAAAAATAAGGGAAGAACATTTTATAATTTATATGAATGGGAACAATAGATCACAGATTGATTATTTTATGTGAGAGAGAGAGCGTAAAGCGAGTAAAGGATTGTAAAGTTATATCAAGCTAGAGTGTAACTACACAGCATAGACTGATGTTAATGGAGTTTTGGTGTACCGGGAAAAGAATATACAAAAACAGAAGGAACATGGGAGAAAAATCGAAAATCCGTTGGTGGAAATTGAAAGGGGAAAATGAAAAAGAGTTTTTCAAGATGGTAAAAGAGAGGACAGTGTGGTATGTCGATGAAGACATAAATGATGTGTGAAATAGATTTGCTAGTTGTGTAAATACTAAAGATTATCATTATATAAGGTGTAAAAAAAGTGATGATAATAGGGTACTCTCGAGTGATGATTATGTGAAAAAACGTGGAAAGAGTATTTTAAAAAATTACTGAATGAGGAGTATCCAAAAGAGACATTAGGGGATATTTCATGGAATGAGGGACTGGTAGATTTAATTAGTGAGAAAGAGATATCAGAAGCTGTGGCATCAATGAAAAAGAATAAAGCAGTGGGGCCAGATAAAGTGCCAATAGGATTATGGAATATATTAGGCGGTGTTGGCATAAAGTGGTTGAAGTAAGACAGAGTATATAGAGTACGAGTTTGATAAAGGAGAACACGAGTTAGGCGAAATAAGGAGGTCAGTGACAATAGGCGAGGACGTGATTGGACAGGTAGAGAGTTTTAAGTATTTAGGGTCAGTTGTGCAAAAGAGTAGTAGTATTGACAAGGATATAAGACACAGGATTAAATGCGGGTGATTGAAGTGGACAGAAGCGTCTGGTGTCTTATGCGATAGAAGAATTCCTATGAGGCTGAAAGGTAAATTCTGCAAGACTGTAGTGAGACCAGCTATGATGTATGGTTTAGAGTGTGAGGTGGTTGATAAGATAGTAGAGCAGAGAATAAATGTAGCAGAGATGAGAATGCTTAGATGGATCAGTGGAGTGACTATAAAAGATAGAATAAGGAACGAGCATATATGAGGGAGTATAGGTGTAGCGTCAATCGTGGATAAGATAAGAGAAAATATACTTAGATGGTTTGGTCATGTTATGAGAAGAAAAGAATCGGAAGCCATAAGAACAGTTGTAGAAATGAATGTCGAAGGAAGAAGAGGAAGACCAAAAAATAGATGGAGAGATGTTATTGAATGTGATATGAGGACAGCTGAAGTGAGCGTAGAAGATGTGGGAGATCGTGTCAAGTGGAAGTTTAGGATAAGGGTGGTCGACCCCAAGTAGTTGGGATTAAGGCGAGGGAGAAGAAGAAGAAGAATTTAAGAGTCTTACCCAAAATCGAACACTCTGTATTTATATTATATCTATTTTTATATCTATTATAACTTTATATGAAGTTAATTCCATTTATTTATTAAAAAATTATAAAATACGATCAGTTAACAGAATAAGAAAGATTAATATTTGTTAATGAAATCCTAAAATTAATCACTTTCTTTATGTTCGATCTAGTTAGACTAAAAAGATACCTTATAACTTAACACTCTCGATTACTTTGGTTTTTATTGAGCTGTCCCAAAATGGAGCAATCCTTAAGCATTGTTTCTATCCACTTAGTGGATAATTTGTGGTTCTATTCCATACTTTTAAACAAACATTAAGTCTAAAAAACTCAAGTTCTTTCTTCAACTTTTCAAATAAATAATTACGCTTAAAAAAAAAATAAATTATTAATGACAGTTATATATTTTCTTATTATTTTTTAAGCAAAAGTCATTATCAATATATGCATTGGTGTTATATGTTGACTTTTTTACAATTAATCATTATAAAAAAAAAAAATTGGTAAACTATTTATTATTAGATAAACAAGAGTTTTTATTTAATAGTTGTATGCAACAGAAATGTAAGAAATATAATTTACATATAGTAGAAAGAAATTCGCACAATTTTTTTTAAATATTTTTGTTTGCTTTTTTATTAAAATTTAAATATGAATTTAATAAAGTTAAAAAATTTGGACTTAGTATTCAGTGTGTATTTTATTATTTTCATTGTAACAGGTAACGAAAATTAAGTACTTTAAAACTACTCGTTGTATTTTTTTATTTTTTTTAATTGCAATATATATATATTTACTTTATAAAATAAGCAACATATATATTTACGTAAGTTATATAATTAAAAAAATAATGGGCCAATAAAAAACTAAAAATTAATATTTTTATCTAATTGAACGATTTATGATATATGAACAAACCAGTATATTTATAAAGTGTATATACCAGTTTTTAACTTTTCTATTTTTTAAAAAAAAGAAGAAAAGACTATAGAAATGATATATTTTAAGTAACATTGTAATGACAAATATACAGTGAATATATAAATGTTCTTAATATTTCGTTCATATTTTGGGGTTGCAGCCATCATAAACTTAGACTCATTAAAAATATATTATTATAGTGATTATATTAGTATTACCTTATCATCGATAATATTTGACAAATTGAAAAATTTTCTTTGAAATTATACGTAGATTTATAATATATGTAGATTGTATAGTATACGTTGAGTCCGTGTATACTAATATACCAATTATTACTTAAGATATAATCAATTGATTCATTTAATTTTTAAAATTGTTTAGCTATTTTCATTTTATTAACTAAAATAATGAAATGTCTCTCTAGTAATTATAAGTATTCATTTATTCAAGTACAATTTTTCTTTAATAGGCTTCAATATAACTAAAGCTTCAAAAAGTAAGTATAAGGAAAAATCAGTTTTTTAGATAAGTCCAAGCTTAATGATCAACATAACAAATTTAAATAAATTATTTTAATAGTTTTTCTTCGAATTAATTTTATTCAAATAAAACTTTTCCTCAAAATATTTCAACAAAAGAAATAAATTTATTAATATTTGATACTTTTAAGTTTAAGAAAATAGAAAAATATTATATTTATTGGAAATAATAATAGAAACAGTAATTTTTTATTTTTATTTTACAATCTAGACGTATCAGGTAAGTAAATAAATGCAAAATCACATCAATATATGTTCTTAATAAATTCATTTTTTTATACAGTTTTTAGCATATTAAAATTGTTTAAGAAAAACTACACATTTTTATTATTATAGCTTAATAAAACTAAAAAGGTATAGCCCAATTAAAAAAATTTGTTTTAATACTTTGACATTTTTATAGTAATTTTTATTATTATCTAGTGATATAATAATTTAATTATTTTTTTTTTAATAAAAATAACTTATTAACCAAAGTTTAAAATAAAAAATGAATAAAGAGAAAGTTGACATCACTTAACACTTTAATTAAGCTAATGATTGAAAATTGTATGAAATATGCAATTCATAATTATGAGGGAATTACCACATATTAAGAGATATTAGATGTACTATACCATATTATATTATACAATTTTTATTTGGTCTATAATATAATTTAAAAAAAATTAGAGTGTTCAAAAATTAAAAAGAGTAAATCAACCTTATGATCCAATACGCTATAATGTAGTAGCATACCTAATTATTAGGATTATTTTTTTAATAACTGAGATAGTTAAGCTATATGTAAGTAAATTAATTATTTATAGAAATTTCATATACAAATAAAAAAAAACAACTTTCTCCATTTAAATATCATTCAAAAAATCATTTCTAGTACTCATCTAACTGGAATAAGACTTAAAATTTCAAATCATGTTTTTCGTTAAACATTTCCATAAAAAATAAATTTTGTTTACACTTAAGTGAGAACTTTATGCGATTAAAAAACATAATTATATTATTCTCGAAAAATTGAAATAAGTACGATTTAAAAGAAACATGTGTTTTTATTTAAATTGTTTTCAAAAAATCTGACAACCAAAATAACATATTTAAAATATATATAATATATCCATAACTTTGTAAACATTTTTTTTTTTTAATTCAAGATTTTCATCTTGCTCAAAGCGTCAATTTGCATAGTCATCCCAACGGGGTAGCAAATCATTATACAAGATCATAAAAAGATATTACAATGTTACGACTATTAAATCAATTTTTGTTTCTTTTCAATACATTTGAAAAATTTGATTGTATCTTCCAGGGACAAAATGTGTGACCTTCGCTTCTTAACATCCAAATGAGAAATAAGAAAACCTGAGACCTAATCTCACCATATATAGTGGCTACTACAATAACTATTTGTACAAAAAATAAATAAATAAAAATTTATTCTCTGCATATATATTGATCTTTTTCACTAAAATTTTTATAAAAAAAATTTATAGTAAATTAAGTTTAATTCGACGTGTAAAATAATTCTAGATCTGCACTACATATGCAGAGTGATTTTTTTATCATAACCCACTCAATTACTTACAGAATAAATATAATTTAACTTTTTTTTTTTTTTTGGTTATATTTAATTACACGTTATTCTTAAATTATTAACTATTTAATACTTATTAAGTTCATCCCTTATGACTAGTAAGAGTATTAACTTTGATTTTTTGATTGGAAACACATATATTGAATTTAATAAAATGTTTGAGTTTTTAATTTAATAGTAAATGACATTTGAATTTTTAGTATAACTTTATTTGTTTATTAAATATTAACATGTAGAATACACAAGGCATTACAAATACAGATAACAGATTGGTTTTTTATAACATCGATATTCGCAGGTACACAGCATTTATTATCACTGGTAGTAAGATGCATTGTTAAGAGTTTATAAATACACTAACAGGCAATACAAAAAGTATATCTATTGACAGTCATAATTGATAATAAACTATCCGTAACTGTGACAACGACGTCATAAAAAACCAATTTGCTACTTGTATTTTTAATCCATTTTGTATTATATATGTATTTTAACTAAAAAATTTAAAACTTTACATGTTTATATCTAATAAACAAATAAATTTATACTAAAAATTCAATTTCCATTTATTATTAAATTAAAAACTCAAACATTTTATTACATTCAAAATATGTGTTCCCATTAAAAAAAACAAAGTTTACACTCTTACAGGGCATAAGGGATAAACTTAAAAAGTATTACATAGTTAATAATACAAGAATAATGTTTAATTAAAATTAACCAAAAGAAAAGTTTAAATTATATTTATTCTGTAAGTAAGTCAATTATGCATTTGATTGTAAATTTCAGTTCAAAATTTTTTTATACATTATAATTGGCATTGTTAGAATAAAAAAAATTATGTTTGATAGTTTTTTTAATTTTTTGATAAATTCAATAAATTTTGATAAATTTCTTATACAAATTGTTTTATTTCAGACGATTATAATCTTGTTGATAGTGAGTATTATCTGTTAATATGAAATATTTTTATTTATTATCATCTATTTAATTAAGTAACATCCATTTTTTAATTCTCAAATGCTATAGGTGTTTTTAATAATAAGCCCATGAAAATTTTACAATTCATGCAAATATGACATCATATATAATTATATAAATTTATTATTAAATTTATTACCTTTAATATTAAAATTAATACTAATGATTAATAATAAATAATAATTGAAAAATAGAAATAATATTGAGAATTTTTTTTTGAATCATTTAATTACCTACTGCTCAATTATTATAATCATCAAATACTTTTCGTGTTCGTCCCTTGTGAGTTACAAAGATGTCAACGTTATTTTTTCAAATGGAAACAAACATAATAAATTAGTTTAAAAAATAGAAATTTAGCTATTAAAGAATACGACTAGTGGGGGCTACTATATTTATAATTAGACATTTCCAGTTTATACTCTTCCTGGCTATTAACATGTCAATAAATTATAAATTAAATTCATGATATTTAATACCATAAATTTAATAAAATATCAATCAAATTTTTCTAAGCAAAGGTTGTTGTTTTTGTAAAATAAAAAATATTATTTTAGTTTATTATTTTGCTTTATTATTATTTATTTTATGTACCTAGCATTGTTATTTTATACGATCATTTGACATAACAAAAATATCGTAGATTACGCTTTTTTTCTACATCGTAAAGATAGCGGTAAACACTATAAGTTTTTTTATTATATTTCAATTAAATTAATAGATAGTCCTTTAATTGCAAACATAATCATTAACTAAATTTGTGGAGGACTGAAATGATGCTTATTTTTAATTATTTTCATAATAATTTTTCATTGGAATTATTATTTAATCAGATTTAATTATAATATATTTATGTTTTATATCAGCATAGATATTTTATGATCTATTTTTATTTAAGATTTATTATTATTATTATCAATTAAGGTATTTTCCATCTTCCATACTTGTTTAAGTTTCATTTAGAAGAGAAATGCATGTTATCGTAATCCAACGATAACAATAATAAATTACTTCATTATAAAAATAACTTTAATAATATATAATAACATCATAAGTTGAGTTTTCTGTTTAATAAATATTAATTATTAATTTACGCGTTAACTATTTAATTTAATGAATTAATTTAAAATTTTATGTACGATAGAGCCTAAAGACGAGAAATATATAGGTAATAACAAAATATTTTTTTAGCTTTATCAATCTATTTATCAATCAAACACTTAATTGTTCAAAAAATACTGAGAAATTCATAATAATGTGAAAAAAAAAGCAATATAACTCATAGTTTGGAATTTTTCCACGAGATGGCTCAAGTGTCGTGATTTGTTGTCGTATAGAGTTGTGGTGAGGGAAGTGAAACTTTGATGGTTGTGTATCATCGGATCCTCGTTTGTCTAATTTTGTTACCTTCCACATCATAATAGTAATACTTTTGAAAACGAGCGCTTTCGAAGAGGGTGAAGTCACCGGTCTCGTCTTAAAACACACCAGGTGTCTTTTACTTGGAGTTCGATTACCTTGTGTGATTTTTGAGGAAGCTAGATGCTTCTACATGCACCAGTAAATCGATATTGTCAGCTAAATCATGTCACTGATTCTCAGTATGTATATAAAAAATCTAAAAAAAAATTAATACGTATGAATATTATAAAAATAAAAATTTTTTAAAACTCATTTGCTTACCGGTATCCATATTAATCAAACTGATAGCGTCATCATAATAATGTTTTAATACGTTGTAGTACTATTTATACATTAATATGTTACTAATATCAAGTATTTATAAGCCGTTATGGAGTGTGTACTTGTATACGTTGAGCATGAGTCCAACAATATACGCTAGCGTGAAGCCATTAACCCTACTCAAATACTTATCTTCCTCAGCGAGCATAATTTCGAAGTAGTCATTGACTGCACCCGTAATATCCGTATGGAACAAGTCCCTAGCTCGGGTCTTGAAGAACCGGTCTTCGGGCGGTATGTATGATCACGGAATATGGTAGGAGGCATCCAATTTGAGATTATATATGATTGGTCGAGTGCGAACGATTTCAGCGAATTGAGCAATCAGTTCAGGTTTAACAGTGCGACACAAATTTCAATAACTTGAAGAATTTACCACATTTTTCCGTTAAAACCCAATGGCCCTATGTTCCCATGCAAAGTCAATTTCTGTAAGATCCGCGATGGTCGTCAATTGCAAAAGAAACTTTTTAGATTTCATCACACTGTTTTTGTTGGTCATACTAAGCATAACTGAGTGACGATGGTGGAAATAATTAATTTAAAAATGAATGAATTTCTTTAAACAATAATAGTAAAAATAACTTTCCTCGTACACGATCATTATCGATTGAATATCTAGCAGTTATTTTATTGTTAAATAATGAATATCTTTTGAATATGACAACAGTTTTTTTCAAAATAAGTCGTTAGCAGTCACCAACAGAGACTTAAGAAAATAAAATGCGAATAAGCCAAAAAATGATGTATAATCTTTTTAAGGACCAAGAATCCTAGCCTGTTTGAATGGGTTAGAGCAAGTTCGGAAAATTTAAACGCATGATCATAAGATGATATTCCGAAGAAAATAGTATACAACTCGTCAAACACAATGCGTTTTATCTGATCCTCAAAATCGCTTTTATTGACTTTAATAGATCATTCGATTCTATGAATATGAGTACGCTACTCAGAAAACAAAAAAAAATTCAGAACACGTTCAGACAAGTTTTTCATCCGCAATCCGTTAAGGCCTAAGAATAAAATCCAAGAAAATGGGTACACAACTCGGTAAACATTGGCACCACACATCGGGTTATAGGAATTGTTTTCATTAATAATGTTTTGAACGAAAGCAAGTTTACGATTTCAATGGTTTTACCTTAAAACGTGATCATGGATTGAGCGATTTACTCGTCCTCCTTGAGAAACAATACATTTTGAGGACAAATTTCTCTAGGTTCTAATAACGCATGATAAATGGGGGGTCATAGGTTCTAAATAATTGGGTAAACTGCACAATAAACAAAACATAGACACGTCTCGTTCAATTAAATAAATGTTTTAACTTTTAAACACGAATTAACAGGTATGAACACAGTTTTTGGATAGAATATCAAGGAAATAAAAGCGGCTGTATCGGTAATTTTCGGCCATTTCTTCTTCAACAAATTTGCATCTATCTTTTTCTATCTTCTGCAACTTCTCTCCATTGTTCATTTGGTTCAACTGCTTTAACATATTTTTAGATATCATCCTCCCGTCGTAAACGCGATCTACCTAACGGTTTTTCCCCAATCGGATTTTCTTTAATAACTGCCTTAATAAATGAGCCCTAATTCCTCCAAGCAAGCCCAACCCACATTAATCTTTTCATTGTGTTTTCTGCAATAATATTTTCAAACAAGTTTATTTTATCATTGTAGCGTATCCTCCGTTAGCCAGTGTCAGAGTCAATGCATGGTCCATAAATTCTTCTTATAATTTTCCGTTCAAACACTGCAAGTTTTGTTTCTTCTACCTTTCTTAGAGTTCAAGTCTCAGAACCATATAAAACTACTGGTCTTATCAGGGTCATGTACAACTGTATTTTTAATTTTGTTGATAAGATTTTTGAGCCAAATATTCTTTCTAGGCTAAAATAACATCTATTTTCCATTGGTATCCTAGTGTCTACCACCATCTTCAGACCATTATCTTGTGACATTATAGATCCTAGGTATTTAAAATGAAGCGCTCTCTTAAACTTATGGTGTTTTACTTTTATAACCTCTCCTAGTCAGTATTTTCTACTTTTTCGCCCAATCATGACATACTCTGTTTTTTTGTCGTTAATCTTGAGTCCACATTTTCCTGCTATATTTATTAGTTTTATAAAAATTCTTCTTGTGTATTGGACATATTAACGAAATGTTCCAGTATTCTGGGAGATTCTCATTTTCCCATATCAGTCCAATTATCTAGTGGATTCTAAATATCGCTTCTTCGTTTACCCTCTTCAGAATTTCTGCCTGAATATAATCTTCTCCTGGAGATTTATGGTATTTTAACCTTTTGACTTGTAATGCAATTTCTTGTTTAGAAAGTGTCAGGCAAGCGCTATTATTAGTTGTTGCATTCATTCTTGGAAATTCTTCAATTGGTCATCACAATTAAGTTGTTTCTCAAAATAAATGTGTTTCTTTTTGGTAAAATATAAACGTTCCAGTTTCCAAAGAATAAAACATTTTTCAATCGTTTTTTAATTACCTCTACTTATCCGATGAAAATTTGTAAGTACCTGAACAATAACTTTTTTTACAAGGCAAGATTGTTAGCCCTGCGCTTAACCTTCAACCTGGAGAACCAGAACTCGAGGCCCTGTGTTCGCCAAACCCGCTGTACTAATTACTTATCAAGCACTTTAAAACGATAGTATCGGTTACGGCTTCTGCTGGTCCTTAATATATTGCGTTGTAATGGTTGTTACAATAGAGATTTTTTTGTTAAGGGTACAAATAGCTTTACTAAAAGAAATAATAACAACGATAACTTTACATAATTTGTTACAAGAGCACTATAGTAGGGTCGTTTTAGAAATAGACAAGGTCATTAAAGATAATGGCAGCGACCGCTACTTAACCTTAACGTAGTGCATGTTAGAGCGAAGATTGTTATTACGACATATGTTTGTCTGAAAACAGAGTTTCGTTTAATGATATAATAATAACAATGAATCGTAAGGATAGTTTTTATTACTTCGATAAAATAATAACTATTGTACACATATATACACACACTCACAAGATTGTCAGAGACAAACGACTCAAGCTGGATAATAGGAGAGCGACGTAAGCCGATGGTATAACCTTCAGTAAGGCTGACGACACGGTTATAGCTGTGACACCTCGAAGACTGTAAACATACGCAATAGTAGTATACAGAAGTGGTGGTATATGGTAAGAATCAACGACAAAGACGGCGGCGACGAGCTAATAAATTTGGAGTTGTGTTGTGTTAAAGTCCTCGTGCGCATAAAAGGAAGGACCTTGGCCTCTCCCTCATAGTCGGGTAAGGACACCTCAGGGTTTCATGCGTCTCTCCGACATTTAATAGTATACAATAATGGTAGTTGGATACCCTCACCGGATGTTAGTTGAGGTTACTACGTAAGGTTTAAGAAATGGGTATAGAGGAAGCTATCGAAATATACCTTATATTAAAGATCGTGACGAGAACAAATTGGATGGTTTTACGGGGGTTGCTGATAAAAATTTTCAAACATCTAACAAGACTAACCGTTAACGAAATACAAGTGATTTTACGCAAATTTTTCCAAAACTAAAGTTCAAGGATACGTCTATATGCTATGGCCACGAACATCTAGGTGGATTACTACTGAGCAAAGACGATGCTTAGGGCTACCGATATGGTACTCCACGCCACCCCATTACTGTTAATAAGCAGAAAAGAGTTTTTTTAACACCAAGGTTAGTTTACGTTAAATTTGGTTTACATCTCCTTTAGGGTATAGTTTGCGTTCGGTTATGTTGAGTCAGATTACATAAGATTTCACTCCCCTCGCCATTACTCTATTCAACGACCACTTGCAACACTAATGCTATCTGGTGGTAACAATTCAAACTACGACACAGCTTGCTTTTTTTTCATTCTACTAGTTATTTTTGGGTTACAATGTATACATCTGCGTTCATAAAATTTGTACTTTCAAATTGATTTCTAAGGTATTTTTTGTCTAACCTCAGCCTCTTAACATCTAAATAACAAACAAAAAAACTTAACACCCTTCTAATACATATCAAATAAAGTTTAAATGACTCCCCTGAAATACAGCACTCTGTATATTTTGTGATTTTTTTTCGAAAAAATATATAGTAGACTCAGTTTAATTCGAAATGTAAAATAATTCTAGTTCTGCAGTATATATATAATTGTAGTAATTATGCATTTGATAAAATTTAATTGTAAATATCAGTTCAACATTTTTTTATACATTATAATTGTCATTATTAGAATTAAAAAAATTAGATTGATAAATTCAATATTTCTATTTTTTAATAAATTTATTATACAAATTTTTTATTCAGAGGATAATAATCTTGTTGATGGTAAGTATTATCTGTTAATATAAAATATTTTTATTTATTATCGTCTATTTTTTAATTGTCAAATGCTATAGGTTTTTTTAATAATAAGCCCATGGAAATTTTACAATGCATGCAAAATTAACATCATTTATTCAAATGGAAACAAACATAATAAATTAGTTTAAAAAATAGAAATTTAGCTATTAAAGAATACGACTAGTGGGTGCTATTATATTTATAATTAGACTATTCCAGCTTATACTCTTCCTTATGTCTAACTATTTACATGTCAATTAATTATTAATTAAATTCGTGATAATTAAATGCCATACATTTAATAAAATATCAATCATATTTTCCAAACAAAGGGTGTTGTTTTTGTAAAATAAAAAATATTTTTTTAATTTATCACTTTGTAAACCCATTCTTTTATTTGATGTACCTAGAATTCTTATTCTATACGATCATTTGAATTTAAAAAAAGATCGTATTTACTTATTAACTATATTACTTAAATGAATTAATTTAAAAATTTATGTATGATAGAATCTATAAATGGAAAATTTCTAGGTAATTAAAATATATTTTTTAAGTTTCATATCAAGATGTGAAACAAATAAGGTAGTAATTTTAAGAATATCGAAAATATAAATTACTCTCTGATTACACGCTACATGTTTATCAATTTCCTTAGTAGTTTAATTTCGATTCAATCCAATTGTCGATATTTTGATGAAAGTTATTATAAGGAGAATAAAACCTAAATTCGAATACCTCAATTTCTCAAAATGGATATTTTTAACTTACTGCCTTATTTTGTATACATCAATCCAACACTTAATTGTTAAAAATAAACAAGGAAGTCATTTTCGGCTTATAAAGTATACATCTGCGTTAAGGTGGATCAAACAAAGTCGATCTTTGAAATTTGAAATGAGAACAATTTTTAATTTATTACATACATTAAAATAGGCATTTTTTAAAGGATTGAGATTTAAAAAAAAAATTTTACTGATCGATCAAAATGTTTTGTAATTTGAGCAAAAGGTAAAATTAAATTTCATTAAAATTTCGAAGATCGACTTTTTTTATCTACCTTAACGCAGATATATACTTCATAACCTAAAAATGACTCTTGTTTATTTTGTACATTTAAGTGTCCATAAAATATGTACTTTCAAATTGATATCTAAGGTATATCTAGTCTAACTTGAGCCTTTTAATATCCAATAAGAAATAAAAAACCTAATACCGTTCTAAAATATCTAGTCGTATAAAAAATATTTAATTAACTCCCCTGAAATTCAGTACTCTGTATATTTTGTAATTTTTTTTACTAAAATTTCTATATGAAAAATTTATAGTGGATTCAGTTTAANTAAAATTACATAAAATGTATAGTTAAGATATTATACACAATGAAGGAGAGAAACTTCCAGTGAAGAGTCTCCAAACTTAAGTAAATTTATATTAAATAATATATATTTACAATAAGTCGTATGGTTTATTTTTTTTTAATCTTCTAACATCTTGTGAGTAATCAAGCAGATGAGCAGCAGCTTTGTTGACGTGGGTCTTCAGACGATTTTCATGTGCCCTGGCATACCGTTGAATTTCTTCTCTGACGGTTGGTATCATCATATCCTTATGAATATTGTCATTTTTTTCGTACATGTACGCATTAGTATAGTACGGAGAGTAATGTTTTGCATTGTTTAAATTTTATCAATACAAGATTTGCTAGCGCAGCCCCATAGTCGAATGCCGTAAGTCCATATTGGTTTTAAGATAGATACATAAAGTAATCTTTTATTTTCTGTTGATAATTGTGATCTCCGGCCAATTAACCAATACATATTACTTCTTTTTATCCACTTTTTAAAATTTTAAAGAATTCACTACAAAATGTTTAATATGAAATTTTATAAACATAGGAAGGAAAAATACACTTCCGTTTATTTTTTTAGTAAAATTAGAAAGTTTACGTGTTTGAAAAAATTTTAACTCTCTATAAATGTAAAATAAAATATTTGCAAAAACATGGAATTTTTTACTCATCAATACAAGCAGAGTCATAATGTATACATTTAAAATATTTAAATAGCAATAATTATGAATATATATTTTTATAATTAGGCGGTGAAAGTTACAGTGAGTATAATGTGATATTAATAATACTTTTATTATATAATAATATTAATAATAAACTCTATTTTAATAATAATATATTTTTATTCATTCACGTATTATACTAATAAATTAATAATATTTATTTAATTATATTAATGAAACAATTTTATTAAAAAAAGTTGAAATTGTGACTAAAGGAGCAAAATCTACTAATATCTCACTAAATTCACAAGGTCTCAAAACTGCTCTTCCAGAAAGTGATAATGGAAATACAGGTATATGAAATATTAGAGTAAATGATTATTGAAAAATAAAAAATACTAAATTATCATTATAAATATTTTTATCGGTCTTAAAATTACACAGAAATATATTGTACATTTTATATCTTCTTTATTTCAATATCTTATACGTACATTTTTTTTAATTAAAAAAAAAAAATGTTTGTTCTTGAATAGCATACATATGCTACACAATTTAAAGTATTGTTTAAGAAGAATTATGTTTAAATTTTTAGATTTCTTGTTAAATAATATCCTTTTTAATCCAAAATTTTGTTTTTAATTTTAAAGTAATCATATTTATTTGCTACAGGTCAAAATTTAAAAATAATCGATGACTATTTTGTTTTTAAATGACTAATTCTGGAAAATCAAAAACAGTATTGCGAAATATAAACTTGTTTTTAGTTAAAATACTAACAAATAAAAATATATTACAGCATATCATCTACTAAACTATGAAAAAAACATTTTATTTTATTGTTTTTCATATATAAATTCAATGTAATAATATTTTTGATATTTACTGGATTTAAAAATATTTATTAAATTATTATTAATTAAAAAATTATCTGTTTTATATCTTTTAATAATTGATCAGTACGTTGATTCCTTTCGAAAACCATCCCAACAGACTGATTTGTTTTGAGAAATACATACTTTTAATATTGATACATTTTTTAAGCTCTTTTGTAATGATAAATTTCTAAAATTTCTTCAGAATATCAAATATTAAGTATTAAAAAAAAACTATTTTATATTGTGAGCTATACTAAGATAATGTATTCTTATTTTCCTCTTGAAAAATTCTGAAAAATTTATTAATTTACTGTTATAAGAACACATTATAAACATTCAAACAAAATTCAGAATTTTCTAACTTTTAAATGGTTTGCCAAAAAGTGAATTCACAAAAATATTGTTTTAAATAGACTCGCTATTCTTTCAATATTTCTATATAGGTTATGACAAAGAAAAATACTAATATGGTTTGTTAGATTTACAGTAATATTGTTATGAACTTAATTAATATGCGTTAAATACTAATTTTTTTTTATTTATAAGCAACAAATGTACATACAAATAAACACTAAAGTATATCATAAAATAAAAAAAATTAGTTCATAATTTTAAAAAGTTTACTGACATATATTCAAAATTAGTGTATATTTTAAATAATAGGTATCATTGGTTACATATAATAAAATATATTCTCAATAAATTATTTCTGTGAAATTTCCCCTCTTGATTTCCTATTTACAAGATATTTATAGATGAATACATGTATATATACAACTTAAAAATTAAGTCAACATTACAATTGAGCTTCAACTAATGGTAATAAACAATGTAAAATAATTTAATGTATACATATATATATATATATATATAACGTTTATAACAAAATATAAGATGCCTAACATTTTTTGGTAAAAACTGTCATTGAAAGACAAATAATATTTTTCTTATATTAATACTCGTCAGTATGAGGATCTAAACCTGTGTCAATGAAGTCTTTTACATTTTGAATAAATTTTCCGGGAAACAATCTAAAATATTAGTTTGAAAATTATTATTTACTTATATAATACATTATTCCTAAAATTTAATATCAAATTATTATGAACAAACAATTAATGAGACATTACTATTAATTAAATATTTTAAAAAAAGTAACAACTAGTAAATGAGCACTACCAGTATTCGAAAATCACTAAGTTTTAACTTAAAAATTTTCTAATCTGATTGTAATAATTTGTAGTTAGTAGTTTTTACAACAAAGAAATTATCTAAATTTTAGGGACATTCTGTATACAGAGTAATCGCTTTATCATAAGCCACACAATTATTCGCTAAATGAATACAATATTGGACAACAAATTTTCATTTGAATTAAATTACAGATATTTCTTGATTTATCAGCTATTAATTACTTTTTAGAATTATCTCTTATAACTAATAAGTCAACTTTATTGTTTTTATGTAACAATACACATAATTAACAAACTTAGTTAATAAATAATGATGTAATTAAAAAAATTACTGATCTATCACAATTTTGTACCAGTATTTCATAAGTTATTAACAATATAAAGAATTGACTGGAAGTGAGGGTAGGTGCTGCTATTTTTATCACTAGTTATTCCCCGACTTTACTCTTCTTCCAGCCCAGGTATAAAATTGTTAATAGCATTCGAAGTGCTTATCGTTAAGTTAATTTAAAAAATCATATAATATACGATATAGTAATTATTAGCTAATAAATAAAAAATATGCGCAACTTATTTGTATTTCTTTTGAGAGTCATCGAGTGGTTTATAATAAACCAATCACTTACTATGTACCAAATAATAATACGTTATTATTATTGATTATATATTTAGTGCTAATGATGATAACTTGGTTATCAAGATACATATTTTTTCTATTCAGAATATTTTTGTGACTTTTATTATTATATTTTTAACTAAATATTTTTTTAAAAAATTTAATTTTTAAATAATATTAGCCGCAAGTTTATCATTATTTTTTATTATTATAATTTATAAACTGTAAATACCTAGATATCCGATCAAGAGGCAACAACAACCATGGTATACTGACTTCTTTATAATTCCTTCTCATTGATTTAACAATAATATTAGCAACTTTTTCGGGTTTTTGCATATCTAATAAGAAAGGAAAACGGTTTCTTGGTTTCTTTACCAAGCCGGTGTTAACCATTATAGGATAAACAGTAGTAAACTTAATATCTGATTTTGAATTCTTTGTGTCACCTGTTCTTAACTCTTCATATAACGCTTCCATTAACCCTGTAAAATGATTGAATATTAAATATGTACTAAACAAATATTAGTATTCAACATCAATTATTCAATTAAAATTAATTTAATGTTCATCTTAATCAGAATTCTAAATAATAATAAAAAACGGTAACACAGTGGGGTCGTGGCATAGTTGGGAAAAGTATTGATAATATCTGACATTGATTAAAATCACTATCATAAAAAACGCTTCGATGCAAATCTGTAGGTAGAGTTTAGTTAAAAGAAGTTGATAGATTATACCAAAAGCAAAATGAATTCCTATTTCGTTTATTATTCCTGATTGTGTTTTGATTTAGAAGTATAAAATATAATTAAATATTTATTGAAGCAATAAAATTAGTATAATATTGATATTTAATAACTTAGTATTGTAATTTATTCGGAAAATTTATAAAAAATTATAAAAATGTTTTGTTAAATTTCAGGTGAAACTAAAAATAATTTTTTTTTAGATTTATGATTTATATAACATGTTAACAAAAAATTTGGAATATTATAAACTGCTAGTAACACACATAAATAGAGTTAAAAAATTAATAAATTACAAAAAAATATGTATGTAGTTGAAACCTATTATAATATCAACCATAATTCGACAATACTACTTTAAAAACATTAGAAACGAATAATTTTAATTGTCTATATTGAAAATGTGGACTAAGTAAATTTTTAATTGATAAAGTAGAATTTGTATCAATTTTTAAGAGTAATAATTTTAACTAGATAATAGTTGATGTATCGCTAAAATAGTTGGTCAAGAGAGGACTGAGAAAATAAATGAGTGCCATAAAAAAAAATCACTTAGTAAAAAAACTTAAATATAAATAAGAATTTTCTTTAAACAAGAGGTGACAACAGTGATGGGGTCCTTGATATTCACTAAAGTTACTGAATTTAAATGAGATAAAAATCAAATGAGTTCAAATTTTTTTCTAACTCAAAAACTTTTGTAAGGTATACATAATGTATATATTAAAATGAAATAAAATACAAAATCGAAAATTTTAACACAAAAATAGCATATTTTTGAAAACGGTAGCCCTTTTTGCTATGAAGACAAAATAAAGTTTCTTTTTTCATAATAAAACATATTACACAAGTTTTAATTTAAGAAATTTATTATAGTGTCAGTATTAGCGGAACACTTTCAAAATTTAAGTTGATAAAATAAATTTTTTGTGAAAAAGTTATCATTTAGAATTTTTCCTGTAGGCAGGTAAAGGATCAGATGTATAAAAAATTATACAAAATGATAGATAATTACCTCATGTATTTATGAAAAACAAATTATATTGATTTGGTCATTTTTGAAAAAGTTATGGCAGTTTTAAGTAAAAAGAAAAATCCAGCACAATAGAGTTGCGGCGCAGTCATAGTTGGTTCAAGTATAATGATATCTATTAATGATTAAAATCACTATCGTAAAAAACGCTTCGATGCAAATTTGTAGATAATGTTTAATTTTTACAATTTTTATTAACTTTGATGTCTGTTTTCACCGTGAAGACAAAATAAAGTCCGAATTTTTTTTCCCCATAATAAAGTACATTATATTAACTTTAATTTAAGATAAATATAAAAGTGTCAGATTTTCTGAAACACTTTCAAATGTTTAGTTAAAAAAGTTAATTTTTTGTGAAAAAGTTGTCATTTTAAATAAAATAATTTCCCTATATACGGGAGCGGTTCAAATCTGAAAAATGCATATAAAAATTAGACATTTTTCAACTTAACTTTTGAAATTGTTCTGGAAAGTTTGACACTTTTATATATATCTTAAACTAAAGCTAATGTAATATATTTTATTATAGAAAGAAAAAATTTCGGACTTATTTTCATTTATTTATTTATTATTCTGAGTAAAAAACTATTTTATAATCAAAATTCAGATTATATTAAATGTTTAATGTGATGTTTATGTTTAATATTTAACAATCGTAAAACAAGAAAACAATGTTGATTTTAAATGTTATGTTGAGAATGCTGATACTTCATATTTGAAATTAATACTAATAAAACAGAAAGACAACCCACACATTAAAAATTACTCACACATTGGTTTAAGGAAATGAAACCTAAGTGTTAATTTATTATATATGTTTGGTAATTCAGAGTTAACACAATAATTATAATTTATAATCAATTTGTTGAAGTTGTAAATTTCGAAAAATATATCGTTGAGATGTGAGTAATACATAATTTCAATATTCCGTCACGTTTTTAAAAATACCTATATTGAAGAGAGCGATAATTTATGCAAATTAACTTAAAACATGTATAAATTTTCAAACATAGTATTAATTAAAAAAATATACTTTTTTTTTGTCCATCAATATACTGAGCTCTCATTGGACCGATTTTAATAATTAATATGTCAAATGAAATTGTTTTTAATAAAGATAAACCTATCAGCGCCAAAAATGTAATAAACCCTCATTTTTAGAAATTAAAAAAAATATCACAAAAATACGCTACCGTAAATAATAGCGTTTCAAAAAAATTTGCCAGTAACTTTCTACTTTCAATAAAATTTGAATAAAATTGTTTATTATTTACTACTTAACATTAGAATATAATTTCAATGTTACGAGTCTAAATTTAGATTTAAGATCATCACTAATAATATTGTTTTTGTCTAAAATTGTCTATTTTTAACGTGTGAATGAATAAATTAACTTTAAGTTATATATTTTTGGTGTTAAATATTATTATCAATATCGTTTAAAACTCGTATGTTTTTCAATGCTAAAAAATGAAGACCAATATAACTCAATTGCTTTTAATCTAAAAGTATTCTTCAGTTTTTAGTAATGTTTATTTATTTACTTTTTAAATTATATTTTTACTTTCTATTATAATTTTCTCAGTATTCTCAGTAGTAAAACAATTATTTCGTTAAAATTTTAGTTGTTGTTGGGGTACAAAAATTTACAAATAAAATGGATATCATTATTATGCACTTGTTACTTAAAAAAAAAATTATAATTATGTTAAAAATACAAATAACAACTTCATGATGTTCAATATCGGACGTGTGCATTTATACATTTTATTTTTAAGCGCTTTATTCTATTACTCAAATTCGTCATTTTAATTAAGGATGTATATAAAAAACGTGTTGGTTCATACTCAACTAGAACTAATTGAAGACACGTCCTTAACCTCGGTTTAGTATATATGTTAAAATGTTTTATATATTAAAATATTACATAAAAATGGCTATTAAATCGTGAAATAATTACTGCTGTTTACTTGTATTCGTTATAATGGCATGAAAAATTAATATTTAATTTGGGATCTCTCAAAACTATTTTATAGTGATGTATAACATTAATTGAAAGTCTGAAAAAGTAAGCGCATGTAAATAAAATAATTGCTTACCTCTTACGGCAAATTTCGACGCACAATAAGGTACGACATTGGGAAGTCCAATAACACCACACATTGATGATAGAGCTATTACATGACCATGATTTCTTTCAATCATACTGGGCAAAAATGCTTCCAACGTCTATAATGGTTTTATAAATTTAATTTTAATAATCAATTTCAATGATTAGAGCCTATCTCACCCAAAAATGTGCCAGTACGTTCACGTTAAATATTTTTTCTACGGTTTCGTGACTTTGCTTCGATAAGGGCCTGCAAGGCATAATTCCAGCGTTATTCACCAGCACGGATACATCTCCAACTTTTTCTTTCACCATAGCAGCAGCATCTAAGACTTCTTGTCTGTTTGATACGTCTACTCTATAATCATAACAAAATTTGATGTCAACAATATTTTAACATTAACAAGTTTTTTTATGGTTTCAATTAAACCGGAGATGTTAACAATGATTAATTTTTAGAATAAAAAAAATCTGTACATTTATTAAAAACAAAGTTCTTATAACATTTTATAATTTGGTTTTCAATTATTCAATGACACGATAATGATGCCTATAAACGTAATTACAAAATAATATTTTAATTTTATTGAAAATATTTTAATTTTGATTAATTATTTCAACTACCAAATTATTTTATGATAGTTTTGACCAATCAGCATAAATTATTATTATAAGAAGAAAAATTACATGATCTTTACATATTCTTATTGAGGTATTTTTCTGTTATCGAATATGTTATCATCTGTAATTCATGTAAACAATACTATTCATTTTGCACTAATTTTTATAAAAAAAATACACGTTTTAATTTATACACGTTACGAATTAATCAATTACGGATTGGGTTGCAATAAAACGTGCAAATTCAATGTCGTTCAGGAAGTATTTATCTATGAACCTAATTGTTAGGCGTATAAAATACGCCTAACTANTGGGTTGCAATAAAACGTGCAAATTCAATGTCGTTCAGGAAGTATTTATCTATGAACCTAATTGTTAGGCGTATAAAATACGCAAGAATTCCTCGGACAATAAACCAGATGGAACCAGTTGGGAATAACCGCTTCAACTTTACTTTCACCTTTCAAATTTTGATTTTCACTATAGATATTTTCACGAGGCTTAACATTCGAGATCTAATACTCACAAAAATCCCGACGTAACATCACAATATAATTGTTATATTAATAAACCACATTAACGATTTCAAAAAATAAAAAGTAAATCACTTGAAATGTTTGTTCTAAACATAATCTTTAACCAAAATGTTAATAACTCGTAGATAAAACATTAAGTATATTTTAAAGCCATTTAATTGTACGTTAAATTTAAAGCCGAGTTTTACACTCCTTAGTAATTAAGGATGACATCATACAGGTTTTCGTGATATATTTAATAATATCTTTAAAGAATGCACATTTATATTAATACATAATCACATTATTAACAACTGTTAATGATTTTGATAAAATATTTACTATTTTATAAGAGCTATAGATATTTTCTGAGAGTTATATATTGATGACATTGATATTGATATAGTTATGTATTGATAATAAAAATTGTTTGTATAAATTCTAAATTAAAAATTATTAAAGCAAAACAAAATAGTTAAAAATAATAAAAAATCTTGCATAAGCCTACCATAATTCATCAAAGAATATATTAAATGTTTTCCAGTACAACAATGACGTAATTTACTTCTGCACAACTAAAGGAGAATATGGTTGTCAATTTTTGTATTGTTAGGTTGTGTACTACATATATATGTATATATTTTTAATCTTGGATGATAAATGCATTTTTTGACGTTAAAGTTAAATCATTGTTATTATCATTGAAAGAGAACTATACATAATAATTGTCGTCAATTTTTCACAGAAATAACACATCATGGTTTAGCATAAGATCATTTTGCCGTAGAATTAAAGTAAACTTCGACCTTAATATTGCTTATATAATTTAATACTTTCAAGGTCAAAATCACTGACCATAAACTAACGCGTAACTGTCAGTTTAAAGATAGTCTTAAGATAATTCGTGTAGGACACATTATCGTCGTAACTAAACTATATGATTAAAATTTAAAGAACATTATTTCCCAGACTTAATTGGAACTCGATTAAGATTATTATGGTTTTAATTTAATATAACTATATTTTGTAAAAATATAGTGTTTTTTAAAGAGTACATTAGCCACTTGAAACCCCGACGATGATTTTTAGTTATTTTACTGTTTAAAATGTTATCTAATAAATAACAACTTATAACAGGATTTTTGTGGACTCACTTATAAGTAAATACTCGATCATGTCCTCTAATTTTGAGGATTTGTTTCGTTTGTTCATTGCCTTTTTCATCAAGATCCCAACATACGATTATTGCATTTTGTTCAGCGAATAAAATTGCTAGTTCTCGACCAATTCCATGACCAGCTCCAGTAATCTAAACATAATAAAAAAAGTAATATTTTAATAAGTGACAACATATAAATTAAACATATTATAAATTACTTGTGATATCATCAAAACCCACATGAAATGGAAAGTTATTCATGTGTAATGTAATAGCGTTATGATATGTTTATATTATATCTATGATCTACCTATTCTAGTTTATGCCTAATTTAAGAAAAATGAAAGTTTTTAGTTTATTATTCACTTCAAGAATATTTTTAATCAGATATTCCATCAAATATTTCTTCTCTTTTAACTTTTAACTCTCAAGGTCAATTTAATGAACAAAGATATCATTTGACTAAAATTTGTTATGTCTTTAACAGTTACACAATATACTTTTTATTTTTAAAAACCTAATGATGAAATTTACTAATTCATATAGTACCGCACGCTGATAACAATGATATCCCAAATTAATGACAAATAATAATTTAATGAAAAATGTTGAATAAAAATGAATAATTGATTTTAAATTAGAAATTTAGATTTAATGATAGTAAACTAATTTCATTGCATAATTTTCTTACACAATAAAGGCTATGAATTGTTCTGTACAAAATACAATGCATATCTAACTTTAATTTAGGTTTTATCAAAAAATAAAATTTTTTTAAATTGCAATCACCTAATTTTCTTGAAAAAATACACATTACTCGATAAAGGTTAAACGTGTTGAAAAGACGAGAAATCTTCGTAGCCCTCTGCAATACAATCGAACCTCACACGACACATTTCCATTTGCAGTAGGATTATATTGTCATTACTTTTATTTTAATGATTATGTTGAATAATTTGACCGTATATGCATATTTTTTTTAAATTCATTAGAAAAAGTATATATCGAATTGAAAAAAATAAAAGGATAAGACATATTAGGGCAATATGACACACTAGTGTTTTGACCGGAAATATTGATATTTAATGACCATGAAGATTTCCTAAGCATGTGTTATAAGGTCTTTAATATTTTAACTACCTTCGACAATTGATAATAATATTATCAATGAAATGATAATATTAAAAGTGTAATTAGTGATTTTTTTTGTACTTTTAAGATTTTAAGTTTATACTATCATTTTCATATTTTGTAAATTTTTTAAGATCCCATGTCGGAGAACAAAAGGTAAGCTACAATATAATTGTATTATTATCTTCCTTACTGATATTAATTGTATAGGAAATTATTCGAAATATTTTATTATAATACCGGGTAAAATGACCGAGTGGTATGTCATTTTGCCCGAGTTATTTTTCATATTTAATTTAATTATTGTTATATTTCTAGTTAAAATGGTATTGAATTATAATCGTAAAATCACACGACAGTCATGGACAGAAAGTGATATGAAAAAAGCTATATCTGCTACAGAAAAAAAAGAAAAGGGTTGGCTTGAGGCGTCAAAAAATTTTATGTTCCTCAAGCTACTCTTCGTCGTCGATATCAGGACAAAAATAAATTAGCTATTGGTGTTACGAAAAAACTAGGTCTTTTTATTTTATTTTTATCCTAACAAAAAATGTTGGAAAAAATAACTTTGTTATTACACAAAAACCCTATAAATGTTTTCATGCTCAAATTCCAAATTATCAATCAATAAAGAATTTTATTACAATAATTTCGAAAATAATAACCTTTTAAAACCCAAGGATCTTTGTAAATCTTTATTTTTATTACACAACTTTATTTTTACATCAAAATTAAGTATGAGAATCTTATGATATTTTAAAGACCATGTTAGAGCATGTCAATAATATTTTTTGAAATATAGCAGTAATAAATAAATCATCAGTGGTAATTACAATGTTTTTATAGATTACTAAGATTTGTGTCTCATACAAAATAAAGTTATGCTACATCAACAAATATTTTACTTATAATATTCTTTTATGTACTACAATGAATTTATTGTGGTTAAAGATATATTTTCTTTGAAATTACAAAAACTGATTGAAAAAAGTATGTCTTGTAATAAACTATACAACTAATATATATGTACACATGAATCGGCGTCAATAGACATAAAACGCGTTAAGTTAGTAAAAGTGCATTTGTCATTAATTTTCATTTAAGATTTTATTAAAAATTGAAGATTTTATAATCAAACATCAATGCAGAAATCGAGGTAAAGTATTGCACTTAAAACTTCCAAGAACAAAGCATACCAGTGACATATTAAGATAAAGCTAGATTTAACCCCCTCTTATTGTCCTCCACGTTCTTTTTACTCACGATTTACAATAAACGCAATCCTTATACCCATAATTTTAATTAAAATTTTCATATTCATTACATTAACGATAAAAAATGTAGAAAATTGATTCCTGATTGATTCGTGGGTTTTTCAGTCGATAATTAAATAATGATGCTCGGAAACAACGTTTTTTCTGTTTAAAAGTAATACTATATATTTAAACTGTATTTCACAGTAGTTTTTAAACACTAATATAGTTTTAATGACAATTTATAACGATCCGACAAAATAATGCGTTTTTATTTCGTCATTTATCTAAAAACCTGAAGAGTCACATTTAACAGACATAATGTACACAACATATGTAAATTATTCATTTACTCAATGAAAATATATGTCTAAGTAAAAATACTGTTAGAATTGAAGTACACATTGCAAACGAAAATAATGTTCATGTAATAAAAATGAGTTATTTTATATGTACCAAGGTCTCCAAAAATAAATTTATAACAATTTTTTGATTTTATTAAAGCAATTACATTAAATTGCAAGGTTTCGTTCAGTTTATTTATCATGTTTTCTCTTTAATAGTGTTAATATTATTCAATATAAAGTATTGTTCTAATAAATGTTTGTAATCAAATTTACTTACTAATATTATTTCATCCACTAACGATTTTTCTAGCGGCGGTAAAAATGCTCGCAGTATTGATTCAATGGTTGTATATACAAACTTAATAACCAATAATATCAACTCAACCAACAAAAGGCCGGCATATGCGAGTGTATTACTCATAGAACTTGATCTAAGTTATTAATAAAATTAGAATAAATCAAAACAACAATAAGCAATTGCGTACCTGTATCTTTTGCCCGTTGATGGAGCTGAGAGCACGTTTCCGTTGGCCGTCATCTCCTGTTTTATCTATTTACTAGTCAACTATGAAAATCTCACAAAACTACCTCATCCGAATATTGATGTGAAACTAAAAAAAAAAAGTTATAAAATGGTTTCAAAATACTATTTAATTATTAACAAAACTAATTGTTTGTTACACTTATAAAAGTTCGCACGAGAGCATCTGCATTCCTCCCCTCTTAAAAATGTGTCAATTTTTATTATACTTAAATATCATATATTTTTTGTTTTTCAATTGCGTTTTGACAAAATTTTCCGTTTTACACATTATAACTATAGCTAAATTTTCCAGCTTTGATGAAAACAGTTAAATGTTTTTATTTAATTAAAACATAGTAATTTTTATTGTAGGTTTACACACTTATTCCTTCCGTAAAATCACAAGTTAAAACATAGAAACACAATTTTTTGATATTTTTATTGAATAATATTCAACAACAAATCTATGGAATCTATTCAAATGAAAATACGCTAGTATTCAAGTTCTAGATAAAACCAGAATTCAATAATTTATGTTATTGATGACAACAGGAAACAAATAATGACATTTATTCAATTATCTTAAGAACTTTTCATTTTCAAATTAATCGTGTGCCGTTATAAAATAAATATAAGTTACATATAATCGTAAATGCGGCGAAGTTAGGAGAACTCACGCATAGACATTTATATTTTACTATTTTCTATTGTAAACACATGGTTTAATAAAAAGATAGGGACATTGCAGATTGTTACAAAACCGGGTAGAAACTCTATCATTAGACGACGAGAAATTTCCTAAGACATCAACGACACGCACATATTGTAGTATTTTTAGAAAACGTGGTAGTGATCAGTTACATAAAAATAAGTGCTGTTATCTTAAATTAAATAAAATGAATATGTATTTTAAATATCGCGTAACATCTATATACCCATAGAAATGAGAATTTCAAAATTATATTCAACTTTACTTAAGTAATATTCCATTTACATACATTTAGACTAAATTAGATCTTACAAGATAATTAAAAATATATATTTACAACACGGTGTGATCTTTCGAAGGTCAAGGTAATTCAAATAAATGACAAAATATGTGAAAGTATAATATAATATAAATAAAATATGATATTATTAATCATATTTAAGTCAAATACAAAGTTCGACGTGATGTTGCCGGCCAGACAAATTCAATTTATTTTATGTGCAGTTTGATAAATAAATAAATTAATTAATTAATAAAAGAAATTTAAAGCTATAGTTTATCAGTTAAGAAAAAGCCAGCTATAATTATTTAGCCTTTCGAGACAATTTTATAATCATAAACTCTTAGCATCATTTCAGATGGACATTTAAAAATATAATTTAATGGATTTATGAAAAGTTATGAAAATGTAATATCCATAACTAGATATCATTTACATGATGTTTTTTATTCCCTAGCATAGTAATATTTGAAAATAAAAAAAAATAATCATAGTACATTCGTGAACACATAAAACTCATGACACATACTTTAATCAGGAATAAAAATATCCTATAATCTTCATAAACTAAGAAAACCTAAAATTTTAATAATTACAAATAATATAGTATAATTTAATTAATTCTTTCATAAAAAATTAAAAATAAACTGATAATTAAAAAAATGAATGACTGATATTTCAATAAAATAACATGAATATTATAATATTGCATGATATTCTAAGGAAGAAAACTATGAATATCAATCAAATATGAATTAATGTTTATATATTAATTAGTTATATAACATTTAATTAATTAATTAACTATGAATTTAATTATCATTTTAAAATAAAAAAATTTGTTTTATATTCAATTTAATTTATTACACTCATAAAAAATGTCTGAAATTTCACATATGTATAATGAAGTTTGAACAAAAACAATGTAAAGGAAAATTTAGATAAATATGTTATAAGTTACTATATGTTATAGTGATAAAAATGTTATACTCGTGTACTAATTTTCGATCCTCTATCAAAATATTACCACTTTTGTGTAACATTAATGTGAAAATTAAAAATGTCATACTGATGTATGGGAATTTTTGAATAATTTCTTACAGTGAAGCCAAAAATCGTACAAAATAGACTTCAACAAAGTATTGTGTTAATATTTTACTATTAAAATTAAATTACATTAAATCATGAATATGCAACAATTTTTAATTTTTAAATTGCAGATAAAGTAATCTATTAATGAGCTGAAATCGTTAGTTTAACCCAAATTAATTATTTGTGTGGCCGAAAATTAAGTTTTTTTTTAACGCATTAAGTTTAGCTTTAAAAGCTTGAAATAATATGCTACACCTATCGATTTAATATAAAATTATGCAAAACTCTGTATATACAAAATATTATTCTGTTATATTTACCAGTTGATATTAATTTCCAACGCTAAAATTTATTAACAAATGTTGTTGCTATATTTAGAATTTGCATTAAAATTTTATACAATTGTAACCATTATAATTCATTTATTATTGTAAAACAAAAAACACCATTATACAATGCCATATAAACTTTTAATAATTTGAAGTGTACTTGATATAAATCTTTTATTTTCTTAAAACTTTAGACGACTCAAGAATATCTAACATTTTTTTGCACTCTATGATTTGAAATAAAATTATGAATTGCATTTAGGCGTATTATGAAATAAAAATCATAATACGCTAATATTAAACGTCAGAAGCTCTTAATCCTATTAATTATTGCAATATAAAATCATCTGATTTTATTGTACTTGAATCATTTAAAATAATTTAAAATGTATTCTTTTTTTATTTACCGCTCTTAAAAATTGCATGTTAAAACTAATAAAACTTAACCAAATATCTCATTTGTACCAGACACTTTTCATTTTATCATAAAAACTAGTGATTTCGAATCTCTAATTATTTTAAATTCGCAAAAAAGTTCACACATAGTATTAAAAATCATTCATAGTTGAATACTGTAATTTAATATATCAAATGCCTATTTCATTTAATTTAATCATTTATACTATTTACTGAAGATAGAATAATTTTTTTTTTTTATATAAGAAATAGATTTATTAAGTTGCATTATACATAAATGTATTAATTGCTTGTGTTAATATTATTATTTTAGTATAATGAATTTGCTACGATTTTAAAAACACATCAAATAATCAATTAATAAATATTTTGTTACAGAACATTTTTACTATTGTATTATATTAATAATAATAATAATAATTAAATATTTTTACATCATTGGTTACATTACAGATGGTAAACATAATAAAAACGAAAGTACGCCATTGAGAATAAACATGTGTATAGATATACTTGGTTATTATAAGATGTGTGTATGTATAATACAGGTTACTATTTTTCTCTATATTGATTTCACTTTCTTTGAATATAACACAGAAACTAGTCATCTTAGATATATGAGTACTTACCATAAAATAATTGTTACCGAATACATTTATCAAGGTAAAACGTAACGTATTAAGATATTATCAATTAAACTTGTACAACAAGGATGTTTCGTCTATTTTTAAGAAATATCAAGTGTTGAATTATTTTATTTCAATAAATTATATTAAAATCATTTAATCGATTGTATTTAATCATTATATTATATCCAACTTAAGATTTTTATCGGGATTTCAAATTATTGATTTGTGGTGATAACAATCCCAAAAATATCGAAAATAATTTTATTATTAACAAAATACATATAAAATCATAACTAAAAATTTATTTTTAATTGATAATAACAAAAAAAAAAAACATTAACTACATTAATAAAACAAGTGCTTAAAACCATGAAAATAACTCATCATAAAAATTGAAAAAATTCCCTTCGGTAATTTTAAGTAAGGATTAAAAGTAAACATACTCATACTTTTAAAACTAAAAGATCAATTATCAAACCCGTACTAATAGATAATTCCAATTAAGGGTATTTTATTTTAAATGTTTTTTCAATTTATTATAACATAATAATATAATATTTTCGGCATAAGATATTATCTTATGCCGAAAATAATACCGAGTATGATTTAAAAATACTAAAACGTCATCTTTCCAGTGTACGCGCACATTTCTTTAGACAACATATGATACCGACCGATCGATACCAAACGCCGGCGCTTGGTATCCATTACGTTGTAGATACTACTAATTGATGTTAAATATTGTTTTATTGCTTGCAAATATAGTTTTAACACTGAACCATTGAAAGATCGTATAGCTATTCAGGTATCCTTTTTTAAACAGTGCACCATCATTTTTTTCCGAAACAAGAACATTTTTAAGCATATCTCACAATTTTTTAACTTACTTGGCAGCAGTCTAATATGAAACAAAGTTTATGTGTAATTTACAAACAATGTTTTGGTGGTTTTCGTTCTGCTTTCTCGGTTTAGCTACACCATAACCAATCGAAGTGCGGCTTCGATCTTACAGTGAATAGGATTTTTAATCCAACGGTGAAATGAAACAACAAGACACGCTGCGTTCGAATCACAACATAAACTGAAACGCTTTCTTGGTTACCTCCGATGTGTAGAAGCCGTCGAGCGTGAGGTACGGTAGCAGCTTTCCACCACTTCCTCCAGTGATAATGTTATACAACATGTACCTAAATTATTTCATTATAATTTTGACACTAGAGGTTGCTTTCCTTTTTGATTTTCCTCCTAGTATTTCTAGTAGTAGTTTCAGACAAAACTTCAAAATTTAACAAGCAACGTCACGGTTTGTTAAAGTAACCTACCGTATTATTGCCATTATAGACAAATAGCGCTTTTTTCCATCATTATTTTTTTTTTTTACTACGTTGAATACGTTTTTACTACCAAATTAATTAACTCGAAGTATTACTTTATTGACCTTTAGTATGGAGAAATTTATTTTCTGTAGAGATATTTTTTCAAGAGTAATAATTTAATAAATACATACTAACAATTTTACAAATAGAGATTAATTTAAATAAAAATCAATGGTATACTGTAAACTATTTCAATGCTATTTGATAGCATTTTTAACTAAAAATGTTTAGTTATGTTAAAATATCATTTAATATTAAAACTTAGGAGAACTCACGTCTTGTTGGTCTTAGGAAAATAGGTCTATAGGTTCTCGCTCTCCTTGACCCCACTACTTTTTACTTGGAGTGAACATTAGTGATGAGTCTCGACAATTGTTTTAATATCTCGTAATTTTGACATTGTATTATGATTTGAAATAATAATAATAGTATTAATTTGTAAGTAGTTAACAACTAGATAGTTATTAATTACCTCACGTACCGATAAGATATCATAATCACTAACTATCTGGACCTTAAATTTTCTATAACAACTGTTATACCGTGTTACAAAGTACTTTGATAAAAAAGATTTTCAGTTAGACTCAAAGAAAAAATTACTAGTCAAATAATGGGATTGTAATGGTCTCTCCAACTTAAAAAAAAGGTAACGAGTACGGTCTAATTGTATAATAGACTCGTTTATATAATAAAGTTGAATTTTCTTAAGATATTTTATTACTCAAAAATTTTAGTAGAATTCGAATTATCCCTTCAGTACTCGTGTAAATTCAATAATTCTTTTAAATTGATCACTGACGTAATAAAGAGGTTATCGGTGTCATATGACAAAAACAATTATATGAAGAAAACACTATTTTTTTACGTTTGGACGGAATGTGAACAATTTTGTAATATATATTGATCCAAGACAAAACCCTAATTACGCTATTGTAACATTTTGGAAAAAATATCAATTTAATAATACGCTTAATTATTAAAAAAATAAATTAATTTCAAAAACTATCACACCATCATTTATTGATAAAATAGTTAAAAATGATTAAATTAAATTCTAACACCCCTACCAAATACTGTATCCTTTACAATAGATATTTTAAAAAATAAAAATTAACGGAACGTAAATAATTACTAGAAAAATTGCGTTAATAAAATTAAGCTAAAATATAATGATATTTAAACCATTTCAATGGATTATAATCTTTAACAAGAACTTGATCTAGTTTAACTCGTTTATGAGATATGTATGAATATTTTATACAAAAATTCAAGTAATTTTCTAAATGTAATGTAACAAACAACACATTGTACATCTATTTTATCATTTTTTTCAAGAAGAAAACATAATACTATTAAATTATACATTTATTTTATTACAATGATACTTAAAAGATAAAATATTTTTAAAAATGGATAAGGTACAAAATATTTTATTTGGCAATTGTATATCAGTAAAAATTTAAAAACTTAACAAGGATATAAATTACAAAATTGATAAACCATAAAAATCACTTATCACATCTATTCCATAGAAACAGTAGTATAACCAAAATTTTAAATATTTTTGATTGTTTTCTTAGTCATTTAATTAAAATTAGAGTTTACATAATTGGGAAAAAATGTAGTTTTCAGAAAGAATTAAACATAGGTATCCCAACGTGCTTATCCTAATATAAATGATTTAGTTATTAATATTTGCAATTTTAGAGTATTCACAGAAATTAAAAACAAGATAATGAAAAGCAACTAATTATTTAATGCATTATATTTATGCAGTTATTAATGACAAATGTAAGTGTTTTTTTTTAGTTTTCTACTAATAGCCGGTCAATGATTTTGATTGAATACATTGAATACATTATTCAGTGTATTCAAAAATAATCATATTGAGATAATTTTAATAAAATAATTGAAAAAATATTTTCATCTAAAAAAAAGGATGTTAGTCATTCGTATTTAATCAACTCGTTTTTGTAGGCGTATTAGTTTTAGTGGTATCTTCGTCATATTCATATTTTTCATTGTCATCGCTGCCATCTTCGGATTCTTCGCAACCATCATCATAATCATCTTTGTCGTTAATTTCATCATCTTCTTCTTCTTCATTTTCATCATCTTCTTCTGCTTCATTTTCATCAATCGATTCTTCCGAATTTTCTCGGTCGTCCTAAAAATATATTAATTTTAGACCAAAGTTTTTACAATACAGCAACCAAAAATACAAAATTATATGAGGTATACACACAAAGGATATAAATAACCTGAACAAAAATAATCTGACTACAAATATTGTCGCATTTTTTGAACCAAATTATTTTTCTCATTACAAAAATTAAGAATGTCCAATAGTTTATGAAAATATAAGTCTTGCCCAGAATCGAACACTATTTATAATGTTGTTGGCCCCATTTATTTATTAAAAACTGGAACTAATCTTCGTTTTTCCCTAATAAAGACTATTAAAAATCTTTCACTACGTAGGTCCAAACCTTGTGCTCTGAAGCAATATCTCACGGTAATTCCAGAGCGTCCAACATTATGTCAATCGTGTTGAAAAAAAAAAGATCCAATCCTTGAATAGCATGAGAACAAATATTGCAGACGTTGCCATTTTCCAATTTAAAGAATTTATTAATTCATTAAATTAAATTAAAATTTTATACAAAAACAAAACTTGGTTTTGTTTGTATATAAAAATTTGTTTAGATCTTAATTGCATCGTAATAAATTCATAATAGTATATAAGTTAGGTATTATTACCTAAACAAACTAGTATATTTACTAAAATAATTTAAAATTGAAAAATTGAAAGTTTTAATTATAGTTGGAAGTTTTAATATTTTGTTGTAAAATTAATCTGTGACATTTACGTAGTGTTACTTAACAGGATAACTTGTTAAAAAACATGTATATTAACGGAAACCACGATTGTTCAACATCATATTAACATTGGTTAAACGCAACAAAAACATATCTTACCAACTAACTATGAATTTTTTACAATCTTATTACTTGTTAACAAAGGTTAAATATTCGTCAAAATAAGTCAAGTAAATATTCGGATATCGACTAGAAAAATAAATTGCCACTTTAATCGGCATCGCGTTAGAGACCTTTTAAGTATAATCAACACCATTAGAAAAACGAGTAATTAAACCATACTTAAAGGTCTAAGAAACGAAGGTAATCGACAAGCAAATTATATTTTTAATCGATATCCGAATATTAACTTGACTCAATTAATATTGACTCCCTATATCTTAGTTCATTATAAAAAATAGTGGAGACATTGCATAGTTGGGTTCAGTATAGATTTAATCTGACAGTGATTAAAATCACTATCATAAGAAACGCTTCGATGCAAATCTGTAGATAGTGTTTAATTTTAAAAAATTGATGGATAATTGCAAAAGCAACATCAACTTCTATTAAAATAAAATACAAAACCCATAATTTTCATACAAAAATAGCATATTTTTGAATATGGTAGCCATTTGCGTATAGAAGATAGGTCGTCGGGACAAATTTTTTTTTTTCTACGGCAGCCGTTTAAATGTAGAAGAAAAAGTGTCGGGACAAATTTTTTTTTCTACGGCAGCCGTTTAAATGTAGAAGAAAAAGTGTCGGGACAAATTTTTTTTTTTCATTTTATAGTACATAAAATAAGCTTTAATTTGATATATGTTTAAAGGACGCAGTATTTCCGGAACATTTTCAAAAATTAAGTTGAAAAAGTTAGTTTTTGTAAAAAAGTTGCTATTTTAAATCCCCCCTGTGAGCAGAATAAGTGTTAGATTTTCAAAAAAAAATGATATCAAATGAAAGAAAATTACCTAAGGTTTCAATATAAAGAAATATTATTTTGATTAGTTAATATTTGAAAAAGTTATGGCAGTTTTAAGTACAAAAAACATCGTTATAAAAGGTGATTTTTATCGCAAATATTACATTTTTTTTATAATTTCGACAGCCATTTGCACATAGAAGATAAGGTGTCGGGACAAATTTTTTTTTTTCATTTTATAGTACATAAAAAAAGCTTTAATTTGATATATGTTTAAAGGACGCAGTATTTCCGGAACATTTTCAAAAGTTCAGTTGAAAAAGTTCTATTTTTTATACAATGTTTCAAAGTTTGAACCCCCCCTATATAAGGGGAAATTGTCTAATTTTAATAAAAAGTATGTCAAATGGAAGATGTACTTATAATGTATTTAGAAAAAAAAAAATTGTGCTGATACATGCATTTTTCGAAAAGTTATAGCATTTTTAAGTTGAAAATTAAAAATTGAAAATCGAAAATTTTAACACAAAAATAGTGTTTTTTTAACTACGGCAGCCGTTTAAATGTAGAAGAAAAAGTGTCGGGACAAATTTTTTTTTTTCATTTTATAGTACATAAAATAAGCTTTAATTTGATATATGTTTAAAGGACGCAGTCTTTCCGGAACATTTTCAAAAATTAAGTTGAAAAAATTAATTTTTGTAAAAAAGTTGCCATTTTAAATCCCCCCCAATGAGCAGGTTAAGTGATAGATTTTCAAAAAAATAATATCAAATGAAAGGTAAATATCTAAGGTTTTAGTATAAAAAAAAATTATGTTGATTTGTTGATTTTTCAAAAAGTTATGGAAGTTTTAAGAAAAAAAAGTGAAAAAATTTCGAAAATTAGCGATTTTTAAATTTGTAATTTTTTTGGATATTTCCCCCATTTGCGGGGAACGAGGGAATTTTTTTCAATTTTTAAGGGTAATGTCTTCAACTAGATACGATTTATGATCTTTTGAGGTATTTTTGAAAGAAATCGGTCCAGTGAGAGCTGAAAAAAAGTGGCAACAGACATAAAAAAAAAAAAAAAAAAAAAAAAACACATCATAGTAAAATTAATACCTTCTCCGCTTCGCATCGAAGCTAAAAAATGGTATTATTAAGATTAATATGCAGCCAGTTAATTTTATAATAACTATTTATAACAAATTTATCAGAAAAGCACGATTTTTTTTGCATTTTTATCGTAATAAATCACATGAATAGAAATCATGGTAATAATTTCTAATTAACTTTTAGTGTTTAAAAAATTCTACAATTGAAATATTCAGAACTGAATTAATTTTAATTTACTTAATTAAAAAAATCAATCAAAATGTTGTTAAAAAAATCTACTCAATTGAACTTATTATAAAAGTTGATTATAATTCTAAAAATGTTTTTATTAAAATTCAGATGAAACTAAAAACATTTTTTTTTTAAACTTATGCTTTATATAACATTGTTAACATGTTTACAAAAAAATTGGAATATTATAGACTGGCAGTAACACAAACAGAGTTAAAAAATTAATAAATTATAAAGTAAAATTATTTACTTTTGTAGTTGAATACTTTTATCATATCACATCTAATTTGAAAATAAACATTTTAAAAATATTAGAAATGAATGATTTTAATTGTTTGTGCTGAGAAAGCTGGATAAGCAACTTTTTATTTGATTAAGGGATTTTTTCAATTTTTGAGGGTAATATCTTCTTCTTCTTCTCCTCCCTCGCCTTAATCCCAACTACTTGGGGTCGACCACCCTTATCCTAAACTTCCACTTGACACGATCTCCCACATCTTCTACGCTCACTTCAGCTGTCCTCATATCACATTCAATAACATCTCTCCATCTATTTTTTGGTCTTCCTCTTCTTCCTTCGACATTCATTTCTACAACTGTTCTTATGGCTTCCGATTCTTTTCTTCTCATAACATGACCAAACCATCTAAGTATATTTTCTCTTATCTTATCCACGATTGACGCTACACCTATACTCCCTCATATATGCTCGTTCCTTATTCTATCTTTTATAGTCACTCCACTGATCCATCTAAGCATTCTCATCTCTGCTACATTTATTCTCTGCTCTACTATCTTATCAACCACCTCACACTCTAAACCATACATCATAGCTGGTCTCACTACAGTCTTGCAGAATTTACCTTTCAGCCTCATAGGAATTCTTCTATCGCATAAGACACCAGACGCTTCTGTCCACTTCAATCACCCGCATTTAATCCTGTGTCTTATATCCTTGTCAATACTACTACTCTTTTGCACAACTGACCCTAAATACTTAAAACTCTCTACCTCTTCAATCACGTCCTCGCCTATAGTCACTGACCTTCTTATTTTGCCTAACTCGTGTTCTCCTTTATTACTTGTCTTACTTCTACTTATGCTTAAACCCTTTTCTTCAAGATTTGATCTCCACGCCTCTAGCCTTTGATTAATTTCCTCCCTATTTTCTTCTATTAACACTGTATCGTCAGCAAACAACATGCAACAAGACACCTCTCCTTGTATTTCTCTAGTAATTTCATCCATCACTATAGAAAATAAGTAAAGGCTTAATGCAGAACCTTGATGCACTCCTAATCTTACCCGAAAACCTTCTTTTACTCTTCCCACACTTTTTACCCTAATACAAGTGCCATCATATAAATCCTCTATTATATTATTATACCATTTTGGGACTCCTCTTCTCATTAATGCCCACTTTAGAACCTCTCTCGGCACTCTATCATACGCTTTTTCCAAATCTATAAATACCATACAAAGCATTTTCTTTTTTCCCTAAACTTTTCTATTAGTTGCCTCACACAAAATACTGGATCCATTGTTGACTACAGGCATAAATCCAAACTGGTTTTAAGATACCGATGTCTCATTTTTTATTCTCTGGTCTATTACCTTTTCACAAATTTTCATACTATGACTCAAAAGCTTTATGCCTCAATAATTTCCACACTCCTGTATGTTACCTTTACCTTTAAATATCGGTGCAATACTATTCCTCCATTCATTTGGAGTTTTCCTTTTAATAAAATTTTATTTAAAAGTTCCTTCAACCACCTTATGCCAACACCACCTAATATTTTCCATACTTCTATTGGCACTTTATTCCACGAGATATCCTCTAATGTCTCTTTTGGATACACGTCATTCAGTAATTTTTCAAAATACTCTTTCCACTTTTTATCATCATCACTCGAGAGTACCCTATTATCATTACTTTTTATACACCTTATATAATGATAATCTTTATTTCTTTTTCTCTCTTAATTTAGTAAGTCTATAGATTTCTTTCTCGCCTTCCTTTGTTCCTAGCCTATCATAAAACTAATCATACCTCTTTAACTTCGCCTTACTAACTGTACACTTGGCTTCTTTGTACAAGCGTTTATACTCCATCCAATCTTCTCTCCTTTTGCTCTTCTGCCATACTTTGAATTGCTTTTTCTTACTTTCTATGATTTCTTGAACGTCCTCATCCCACCACCAGGTTTCCTTGTTTCCTGGTATTCGACTCCTACTTTTACCAACAATCTCTTTGGCAATATTCTTAATACAACTAGCAAATCTATTTCACACATCATTTATGTCTCCATCGACATTCCACACTGTCCTCTCTTTTACCATCTTGACAAATTCTTTATCATTTTCCCCTTTCAATTTCCACCAACGGATTTTCGATTTTTCTCCCATGTTCCTTCTGTTTCTGTATATTCTTTTCCCGGTACACCAAAACTCCATTAACATCAGTCTATGTTGTGTAGTTACACTCTCGCTTGATATAACTTTACAATCGTTTACTCGCTTTACGCTCTCTCTCTCATATAAAATAATCAATCTGTGATCTATTGTTCCCGTTCTTATAAATTATAAAATGTTCTTCCCTTTTTTTTGAGAGAGAGAGTAATATCTTATATAAAAAAATACGAATTGCAATCATTTGACGTATCGTTGAAAAAAGTAGGTCAAGTGAGGGTTGGAAAATAATTCGCAGCTACAAAAAAAACCACATAGTAAAATAATATTAACATGAATAAGAAATTTCTTCTCGCGAAGGGAGACTACAGTGGTGAAGACCTTGATATTTATTGAAGTTATTGAATTTAAATGAGACAAAAATCAAATGACTTGAACATTTTTTTCTAACTCAAAAAGAATAAAGAAAAAAATGCAAAAATTAATTGCCACAGGTGGATTCGAATCTCGTATCTTAAGCGTGAAAGACACAAGTGTTACTTATTTAGCAACTCTTCGTCGCTTTCGTCGGCTGATAAATTTGGCAACTTAAGCTAATTCAAATTTTAAAGTAACTTTTTCGACTTTAAAAAAGCAAAAACATGTAAAATCAGGTCTAGAGTCAGATTTTCAAAAAAATGATCTAAAGTTTCAATATAAAAAAATATTAATTTGATATGTTAATTATTGAAAAAGTATGGTAGTTTTAAGAAAAAAAAGTGATAAAAATGTCAAAACTTATCAATTTTAAAAATTTTAATTTTTTTTAGAAATTTCCCCATCTATAGTAAACGAGAGAATATTTTTCAATTTTGAAGAGTGATTTCTTCAATTAGATACGATTTGTGATCTTGATGTATTGTTGAAAGAAATCGGACCAGTTAGAGCTGAGAAAAAGTGGCAACAAACATAAAAAAAAATCACATGGTAAAATTAATACCTTCTTTAATGCCAACTTATTGTAAGTTATTTTCAATTATTGATGAAAAAAAGTCGAAACTTAAATTACCCATTATATATAATTTCTTAACTACAAATGCATCAAATGAAACAATGACGTAAAACAAAAAGCAAATTACCAAGGAAGCAATAGATAAAGCAAAAGATTATTTAAATGATTAATTGAGAAGAAAATATAAAAATTCAAATACTGATGAATATAAAAGGATATATAGGACTTTAAGAACTTTGATTATAAGGAAATGACAAGCAACGAAGGAAAAATACCTAGAAGAAATATGTAAGGAAATAAACATTTTGGCGAGAATGGGCATTCTTTTTACTTCAAAAAACATTGATCTTGATATTAGAAAGGATCTATTAATAACATACATCTGAATCATCATGTTATATGGATGCGAAACAGGGACTATTGCAAGAGAAGAAATTAAAAGAATAGAAGCATTCGAAATGTGGCGCTACAGAAGGATAAAAAGATAAGTTGGACTGATAAAATAACTAATAAAGAAGTTTTAGAAAGGGTATCTGAGAGTAAATTAATATGGAAGAATATAAAAAAAAGGCGAAATTAATTAATAGGCCATACTTTAAGTCACGATGGGTTGCTATTATTAATCTTAGAAGGAATAATCGATGGAAAAAATCATAGAGGAATACCAAGATTGCAATACGCAAGTCAGATAATAAAAGATCAAGGATATAATTCATATCAAGAGTTGAAGAGGATGGCTAATGAAGGAGAAATATGGAAGTTTCTGCAAATTAATCATTAGATTGAATACTGCAAAAGAAGAACCTATTTGATAAAAGTTTACTTTATAATTAATGAACACAAACTGCTTACAAAATGTAGTTAAAACACACTTATAGTAAACACGTATTTTAAATAAAACTTACGGGTATTAAGGACAACGTAACTTTACTGGAAACTACTGATTCATAATTTTCTGTTTCACCTGGTGTATTATGTGGACCATCACTAACTAAAAGTTGGGAGTGCTTTGGGATTGGGCCAGGAATAAACAAAGATATTGGTTCAGAAGTCGTTTTATCTATTTCGAATTTTTTAATATCTTGCTCTTTTGGGGTCCAATAATGACCTCCTTCGACTCCTTCAGATGTCTCCATATTGACAACTTGAATAACTTTCTTGCCCAAAACTTCTGATCTAGGAGACATATCACCTTCTTCTACGTCATTACAGAGATTTTTATCACTTTTGTTGGTTATGCTTAAATCTGTACTACATGTAACTTCGGAAATATCATTTATAGATTTACTATCAACACATTCCGCTTCTTTTGGACAAGTCTCGTGTTCCTATATTAAAGTATAATAACTTCAGTTTGACAAAACTTAACAAGATTTGTTTTGTGTATTTAAAAGCATACACATTACATACAGAAAGCTGTACAAACTAAGCTAAACAATCTTACAAAACATTTTAAAAAATTTAAATAAAATTTATGTAAACCACACGATCTATTATTGAAGACTAAATGATACTTTGTCACTGGCCTAACTACTAAATTAACCTCAAATAATAAAAAAGCAAAACGAAAATATATTTTAATGGTTAAAACCCGTCAGACTAGGGATACCTCATCTTCAAGTATTGTGTGAACTTTTTCACTTTCAATTAGTGACGATAAAATTTCCCGATTCACATCCTCCAACAGAGATGAAAATGCATTCACGACTAAGTTTTAAAACAAACAAAAAATCAATTTTGTTGATTTTATGTATTTATTTTTTTATTAGATTATTCATTAATAATTTTTTAGAATTTATTATTCCTCATAATATAATAATTGAAGTATTCGAATTAAGAATTACAAAAATATACTTTTTAACACCCAAAAATATTTTAAAATTTATATTTTTTACGAGCAAGTTATATTTTAAATGGTTTTATAATGTATTTTTGTAATTCATACTGATTTTGATAAAATATATCACTGAAATTAAAAATTAAAAATTACGCATAGACTTATTTTGAAAATAATTCTACTTATACAGTGACTTTCTTTCAATTGAAATAAATAATAATAATTTAACTAACTATTAAATTTTTCAACGTATCGGTTTTCACAAATGTTATATCACATCATGAAATGCAACGTAAAAATTCCTACCAAACGTGTTAATCTTTTTACAAATTAGTGCAATGCTAGGAAACTATGACCAAAAAATGATTAAAAATCTCATGCGCCATGAAATTTTATAAATCACTCAAACCTTAGTCCCTTCCATTCTATTGCACTCAGACGCCAAAATCATTTGTTTAACAATGCGTTCCATCGCAGCCTCAGTTTCTTCTAGCTTACGACGGAGCGCATCGATTTCTATTTCGCCTACACAAACAAAATTTAATAATAAAAGACTCGTTTTGATAAATTAAATGAATTATTTTTATCGTAGCATGACTAACACTAAATATTAATAAATATGGTATCAAAACGAACTGCTTAAAAAAATAAGGGTTCATAATAAATTTTAACAAATCTTTAATTAACTCATTTGAGTAATAATTAACAACTTATAAAGCAATTAATAAAAATGCTTACTTGTATCTTTTTCAACAAATCCTACACAATTCCGGGCATATTATAAATGTTATAAAAATAAATATTAATATAAATTTCTTTTCAAATAATTATGAACATCTATCGTTACCTAATTTAGGATGCCCATTTTGTGTTAGTTGTTGTTTACTATCATTGTTATCGTCATCGTTCAAAGAATACTTCCGAGGTAAATATTGTTTTTCATAAGGGTAATTTTCATCTTCATTTTTCTTCGTAAGCAACTATTAAAATTTTTATCAATTAGCATAAAAAAAAATATTTAAAAAAAGTTATACTTAAACATTCTAAATATATTATATTTTACCTTCATCATTGTATAAACGAAAAATAAAATTATGCCGATTGTATACATTGGCATTAATATATTCATGGTACTGCCTTCGCCTCCTCCAAGTCTATTATTTGCACCACCCATACCTGGCATTGGTGGTTTTGATCCTTGAACTGTTGGCTAAAATACACAATTATTTTTCATTTTAAACTCTAAAAAACAGATAAAACATCCTACTTAGTGCTCATACTTGAAATCCGATTTACAAACTCCTAAATTAATCATTAACAACTTTCTTCAAATTTTAGCATTGAGTAATAAAAAATATAATAATTTATTTTCGTTTCTATGATTGATCATGGAAACGATATAGAAGAATTAAAATATGTCTAAACAAAATTATTATTACAATAATACAAAAGTATTATTAATATTGTTAAGGTCAACCACCAGTTATCGTAAAAAAATCGAAATTAAAAAATTATTGTATTGACATTATTATCTTTTCCAAATAATAAGTATGTAACTTATTATAACTGTGGTTTCACAGGAATAATGTGACAAAATTGTTAAATCTAAACTAAGATAATGTAAACATTTTATAAGCCCTCAAAGTTAGTTAAAAAAAAATGTTAATTTTAAAAAATAAAACATGTAGTTTAAAGTTGAAAGAATCAAAATTTTGATAAATATTCATAAATGATTCTCAATTGTCAAAATTCTTATCGCATCAGTAGTTTAGTTATACTATTGGATTAAAAAGAAGTTGTTCATTAATAAAAAACGGGCGGTATCTGCACGCCATGACTGGACATACCATAAGATAGTTCATGTTGTCCTCCTCAAATGCCACTCCTACTTTACTACAAGTTATAGCTTTTACGAGTGAAAGTTTGAATATGAATGAAATAATACTTTTAATCAATTTTTAATCTTTTAAAAAGAAAATTATTGCATATAATTTTAGTAAACATTTTATCTAATTGTAAAAGAATGTAATTTATTTTTTAATTTTCCTAACTCTTTTTAATTATTACAAAAAAAAAATAATAATAATAGCACAGTGACGACGTAAAATAATTGTCACGAGCATTTGGCTCGATGCAAATCTGTAGCGTTTAATTTTTAGAAGGTATTATTGAGTTATTCCACAAACAACAAACAATCTTCGTCCCATAATTATATTTTGATTAATAGTTTATTTATAAGTATAATATATCAATAAATACTTATTACAGTAATTTAATTTAATATTATAATTTTTAAAGATAAATTATAAAAATGTATAAAGCAGTATATATAGTTACTATGGTAAACATGTATAAAAATTGAAAACATTGATACTAAATTTTTTTTTTAATATGAATACCGTGGTCTACAAGAAATTATCATCAGAATCAAAAATATACTTCTCTAAACTAATTTTTTACGCTGATTTCATATCTGTAATTATATTTGTTCTGTCATCGCTAATTTTTGAGATTATTACTAATTAGATAATGAGTATTTATATCTAAAACATATCAAAATGTACAAAAGAAATAATATTTTATTTTTTACAATAGCTGTAACAATAGTAACTTTTGTTACAAAAAAAAAACCCAGCACAGTGGGGTAGCGGAACAGTGGGGTAGCGGCACAGTGGGGTCGTGGCATAGTTGGGTCCAGTATAGATGATATCTGACAGTGATTAAAATCACTATCATAAAAAACGCTTCGATGCAAATCTGTAGATAGTGTTAAATTAAAAAAAAAAAAATTGTTAAAATAGCATATTTTTGAATATGGTAGCCATTTGCGCATAGAAGATAGGTCGTCGGGACAAATTTTTATATTTCATTTTATAATGCATAAAATAAGCTTTGATTTGATATATGTTTGAAGGACGCAGTATTTCCGGAATATTTTCAAAAATTAAGTTGAAAAAATTAATTTTTGTAAAAAAGTTGCTATTTTAAATTCCCCCTAATGAGCAGGTTAAGTGATAGATTTTCAATAAAATTATATCAAATGAAAGGTAAATACCTAAGGTTTTAGTATAAAAAAAATTATGTTGATTTGTTGATTTTTCAAAAAGTTATGGAAGTTTTAAGAAAAAAAAGTGAAAAAATTTCGAAAATTAGCGATTTTTAAATTTGTAATTTTTTTGGATATTTCCCCCATTTGCGGGGAACGAGGGAATTTTTTTCAATTTTTAAGGGTAATGTCTTCAACTAGATACGATTTGTGATCTTTTGA